GATTGTAAAGAATACAAAGAACAAAGAAGAAGTGAAGAAGTTAAGAAGAAGTTAAGTTAAGAAGAAAAGAAGAAAAATAATAATAATAATAATAATAACGGCCTGTTTTTGAGGAATATCGCACGGCCCGATAGAGTAACTATGTAAAAATAAGTTTTAAGATAAAAAATATGTCATAAAAATAAACAAAAGACACCCTGAGATGGTGGCAATAAATTGAATTATAATATTGTTTTTGTTTTCATAAAATGATCAGTAGAAAATGTCATGAAGCCATTTCTGATCTTAGGTCTCTGGTTGGGACCCGGAAGGAAACGTGTATAAAGCAGAAATCAAATGAAATAATGCTAATACTAATATTATTAATAATAGTAATAATTTCTGTTTGAGGAAAAAAATGAATGTGCCCAGACATAAAAAGGAAGAGACATTTGTGCACTGGAAGATATACAAGAAGCACAAAATCAAAACCACTGAGAGGTGGTATGAATACTAACCAAACAGTTACCCAAAACAACGATGTAACTATCCTCTGGGACATGCCAATTCAAACTGACAGAGAAATAAAAGCCAACAGACCTGATATTATCATAAAAGAAAAGAAATTCAGGAAGTGTATGCTTATTGACATAATATTACCATCTAAGAGAAACACCTCCATAAAAATTATCAAGAAATTGTCTAAATACAAGGACCTGGAGATCGAGATTAACAGGATGTGGGGAATGAAACTGAACCAATAGTAATCGGAGCTCTGGGTCTCGTGAGAAAAGGAATGGACAATTTTACTAAGAGTGTCCCAGGTAACATCAGCATACAAGTTGCCCAGAAGATCGCCCTACTAGGAACATCCCATATACTAAGAAAAGTGCTATCAATTAAATGACAATTGTCTTATACAGCCTAAGGACTATAGTCTGGACTCGGCTCTACAGTATACAAAGCAGAAAACATAACATATAGAAATAATAATAATAATAATAATAATAATAATAATAATAAATACAAAAATTTGTACTCACAAGTACAGCTCACAGCGAAATTCAAAAATTGTACTTTCAAGGACAGGTGACACCGAAATACAAAAAATGTACTCAAAGTAGAGCTCACACCGAAACACAAAAAATTACAAGTACAGTTCTCACCCAAGTACAAAAATGTTGTATTCACAATTACAGATGACACCGAAATACAAAACATTGTACTTACAATTACAGCTCACACCTTACGAAGGTCTTTATTTATGTAAAATATGTGTGGACCTATTTTATTTTTATTTGTTTCTTTTTTTTTTTTTCAAAAAATGATCAGTGGAAAATGTCATGATGCATTCCTGACCTTAGGTCTCTTGTTGGAAATGAAAGAAAATAAATAATAATAATAATAATAATAATAATAATAATAATAATAAGAAGAAGAAGAAGAAGAAGAAGAAGAAGAAAGTAAATGAATATACAAGTAAATAATAAAACAAATAAACTTTCATTGTAAAACGCTAGATAACGAAGTAAATAATGTCGGAACTTATTAACGAGAAAAAGAAAAGAAAATGCCGCATTTATTTAAATGACAGGGACGAGTTTAGTACAAAGACGCAGAAGCGGAAGAGAATTCTTTGTGTGAAGAGAAATCCTTAGGTAGCCTTCAGCAAGTGACTAGACATTATCGAATTGCGAATAATTATAAAGAATTGTAAAGTGAATTAACGAAGCCATGAGTTGGCCTCTCCTTAAGGAAGGCAGAGATGTCAACACTTATTATTCCTGTTGTCGAGGGAAACAATTTGTTCCGGCTTATGAGATGGCCAAATTACACACGTTTGAAGGAATGTTCACCCAAAAGACCAAGCTTACCGATTTGAAGGAACAGATGCCTTAGGGGCCAACTAACGTGCTCTGATTGTCGGCATGACAACATCTATCTATCTATCTATCTATCTATCTATCTATCTATCTATCTATTTCACCCTGTCTATTATCTATCTATCTATCTATCTATCTATCTATCTATCTATGTTCATATACATTTTTCGCTGTCTCTGCCCTAATCTTTTCGTATCTATCTACCCTGATATATATCTAAGTCTGTACTTCTTTCCTTCTTTCTTTCTTTCTTTCTTCCTATCTATTGCTCAATCTCTATCTATTAATATCTATGTTTATATATATATATATATATATATATATATATGTGTGTGTGTGTGTGTGTGTGTGTGTGTGTGTGTGTGTGTGTGTGTGTGTGTGTGTATATGCATGCATGCATGTGCAGATATTTCGAAAAATAGGAGGGAACACGTTAGGTGAATAATCCGGAGTTTTTTTTTTTGTTTTTTTTTTGTTTTTATTTAAAAAAAAAACAGTTCTCCATACAGAATTATTATAATTGTTTTTTTTTTTAAATATGATTCCTTCACTACGTAAGAGTTCTCATGTTTCAAAAACGAGAGCCGAAAACCTCAATATAATTATTAAAAATAAATTGAATTAAGGTATCAAGCCCTGTTTCATCCTGAAGCGAAAATTTAGGAATAACGAATCTTGAAATTTACGCATCTTTATAAGCATGTTCATTCGCAAAATTAATTACTATGGAAATGGCTGGGGGTGACGATTTTGGTAAGGGGCCTAAGATTTATTTTTTATCTATATACCAGTCACCTTCGGTAAGAGGTCAAGCTGAGGCAGGGTGGGGGTATCCATTTCAAAGTGAATGATGGCTCATGAGCTCTTTCCGAAGGTGACTAATATGTGGATAAAAATGAAATCATTTCATGTTTATCTCAATTTGATCATATATATATCTATCTAAATTAATTTTTCATATCTACCTTTCTCAGTCTGTTCATATATATCTATCTATCTATCTATCTATCTATCTATCTATCTATCTATCTATCTATTTCAGTCGATTCACATCTATTTATGTATCTGTTACGTTTGTTCACATCTGTCAATAATTTTTCGGCTCTACCTATCTCTCTCTGTTCATATTTATCTACTTGTCGTCAGAATTCATATCTATCTCAGTCTTTTCATATGTATATGAGTCTATGCATCTCTCTATATCTTACTTTTCTTTCCTTCTCTCTCTCTCTCTCTCTCTCTCTATCTATCTATCTCTATCTATATATCTATCTATCTACCTATTTGTTCTCCTATATGACCATCGAATGCTGGACAATCGACTCAAAGATGACGAAGCGATTAAAACAACAGAAATATGGTTCTACAGGAAGATGCTGAAGTTACCTTAGGCCGAACATGTGAGCAATGGCGAGGTTTTAGAGAAAATGCAAAAAAAAAAGGAAACTTATACTTGACAATTGAAGAGGCAATTGGAATTTCTATCAATTATTTTACCATTATTTTGCAAGGAACTGAATAAATGAAAATCCGAAAGAGGAATGTCTGGTGAATATGGCGGGTGGGTAACACATCCTAGCTAAGCTGCAACAATTTTTGCCGGGTTGCCAAATATACGTGAGGTCTGGCATTATCCTGATGGAAAACACCTTTCCTGTTCGCTAATTCTTGAGGTTTTTCTTGAATTGATCTCTTTAATCCGTCCAGATGCGAGCAGTAATTTTCAGAATCAATTGACCGGTTACTTAGCAGACGCTCATAGTAGAGGATTCCTTTCCGATCCCACCAGATGCACAGCATGACCTTCTTAGGTTGAAGAACTGCTTTTGAAGGGGCTAAAGTTGGCTCATGTCGCTTACCACAGGATCTTTTTCGCTGAACATTGTCGTAAACGATCTCTTTCTCATCACCCGTCACAATTTGCTTAAAGAAATGATGCATTTTATTGCATTTATACAGCAAATCAAAGATAAAATGAGACCCAAAAGACTCTATTCACTCCGATCATGTGGTACCCAAACATCGTAGAGATTTGAGTACCCAAGCTTCACTATGTGCTCATGAATGGTGGATTTTAATAAATTTAGAGTTTCTGCCATTTCCCACGTTGTGTAATGCGGGTTATTCCCAATCAATGTCTTCATTTGGTCGTCATCTGAGCGTTCTTCATCAATAAGGCTACAATCACCAAAGCGAATCACTTCCATGCAGTTATGTCAGCAAAAGCGCCTTCACGGTACACAGCACATATCTTTTTTGTTGCTTGCAAGGAATTGTTACCTTTACAGTAAAAAAAAAAAGAGTTTAAAATGCACCTTATAATCTTCTATTTTCAAAGAGATTCAAAATTGACACGAATTAAGTAATTTTAAACTATCTTTCCCAAGAGAAATTTTAAGTACGCTCTAATAGAAAATTTAAGCATATTATACCTGTCGATGAATTTGACGTGTTCTAACATGTTGGGACATGATTGACGAAACCTCAGCAAGGACCTTTCTGACAACCTGAATAAAATTGGGGGCTCGTCCGGGATTTGAACCCGGGACATCTCGCAGCTCATAATACATCAACAAACCCAATATAATCACTTTCCTGTCGCTGTAAAGTGGCTTCTCTCCTTCTTTTCTATAAATATTTTTAATGATCTTACCTCCTTGCTACCTCGACCACATAAATTTATGCGTATTACTAGATGGGCAGATAGGTCTCATCATTTTACAGTTGAAAATATAACCATAAATTCTATTCTAATAGTTTCTTTTCTATTATTTCTCGCTTGTGGAGCTTTCTTCCAGCTTCTTGCTTTCCTGACACCTTCATCTTTCTTCTTTTATGGTCACCTATATCCTTTAGGACATAGGTGACCATGGCCCTCTACATCTTCTTGTCCCTTGGAGCTCTTAATAGGTAGTGTCTGTTTTCTATTTCTCTCAATAGAAAAAGAAACTTATGCTCTTGGTAATTGTTCAGCTTTTTATTAATATTCAATTTAACGTGATTATATATATATATATATATATATATATATATATATATATATATATATGTGTGTGTGTATGTGTGTATATGAGTATGTATGTATATGTGTATATGTATATGTGTGTGTATGTGTGTACATATAATAGCTATATTTATTTATGAAAAACTGACGGAGATAAATAGATAAGAAAAGACTGAGATAGATAGATAGATAGATAGATAGATAGATAGATAGATTAAATAACTAAATAGATATGAATAGACTGAAATAGATATAGAGATAGGTAGATATGGACCGAGATAGATAACCCTGCCCTTCATTATTGTTCTGTTTAAAAGTCCTTATATATATATATATATATATATATATATATATGTGTGTGTGTGTGTGTGTGTGTGTGTGTGCGTGTGTGTGTGTGTGTGTGTGCGTTTGTGCGTGCATGTAATACAATATATTTATTTATGAAAAACAGACGGAGATAAAACGATAAGAGAAGACTGAGATAGATAGATAGATAGATAGATCAAGAACAGACTGGAATAGATAGATAGATAGATAGATATAGATAGATAGATAGATAGATAGATGCAAACAGTCTGAGATAGATTTGAACAGGCTGAGATAGATAGATAGATAGATAGATAGATAGATAGATAGATAGATAGATAGATCTTGCGAAATTGAGAAATGACTAAGATTGAAAGATGTGGCATGAATAGACAGATAAATAGAGATTTAGATAGTTAAATAACCAGATAGATATGAATAGAGATATGAATACATAGAGATAGATAGGTAGATATGAACCAAGATAGATAACACTGTCCTTCATGTTTGTTCTGCTTCTCTATTAATGTTCAGTTTAAAATTGCTTATATATATATATATATATATATGTGTGTGTGTGTTTGTGTGTGTGTGTGTGTGTGTGTGTGTGTATGTCTGTTTGTGTGTGTTTGTGTGCATATAATACAATATGTTTGTTAACGAAAAACTGTCTGAGATAAATCGACAAGATAAAACTGAGATAGATATTGCGAAATTGAGAATTTTTTCAGTTTAAAAGTGCTTATATATATATATATATGTGTGTGTGTGTCTGTTTGTGTCTGTGTGTGTGCGTTTCTGTGGGCATATAATACAATATATTTATTAATGAAAGACTGGCAGAGATAAATCGACAAGAGAAAACTGAGATAGATAGATAGATAGATAGATAGATAGATAGATATAAATACATTTGTTCTGAGATGGAGAAACGAATAGGAAAGAAAGAAAAACTTCCCTGTTGAAAAATTCCAAGAAGAAAATAATAAAAGAAATAAAAAGACGAAAAGTAAATCCAATACAAATGAAATGACAACAATTAATTTCGAAAGGAAAAAAAAAAAGCTAATAAAAGAAAAAAAAATTCAAGTGCTTGAACATATGAAATGGAACGCGGTCTGGAGATGGTAAGATGTCTCTGTGGATAGAAAACTGACGCTGGACAACTGCAACCGAAATAAAGACAACTTGTTGTCTGTCGATTAAATCGTCCCTGATCAGGTCTCATTTATTCCTCTCATTCAAGCCCGATGTGACAGCTAATTGGCCATCAATCTGACTTGACTGCTAAACATGTCGTTTAACACCAGCAACACAGACAGCAAGCACATCTACGCCATCTTTGAAATTGGCCCTCGACTGACACTTCAAAGTCACTTTTCTCCTTACCGTTTTTTTCTATTAATCTTCCGACGCCATTTTTACAGCTTCGTGTCATTTTTCTTATATTTATTTATTTATTTATTGCAAAGGGACATTTTTATTTGTCGGTTGTATGGTATCAGTCTGTATTTCTTACCATTATTTTGTCCAGTATATTTAGCCAGGAAGTACAGTGGAGTAATTGGTGAATTAAGGAATCGGAAAGCCGAGTTCGAATTCCACTAGAGTACATTGCATTTACTTACATTTCACTCTTAGGAAATGTATGAATCAATCTCTCTCCCCAGCTATGGGTAAAATATTAGAACAAACTGATTAGTTGGCAACCTGTCTATGAGAAGTAAATCTCTGAATTTAAACCACATGCTATTTTGTAGGTCTGCCTCTCTAATTTCTAAGAGGTGATACCGGAAGGCCATTGCACTATTCTGCCTTAAATAAACAATTGTTAGATAGGGGTGGGTAGTGACCACAGCGATGCAAAATTATTCTGATATAAAATTATCATTATTTTTATTTCCTTACATTTCTAGTGTATACTCATTTCTTTCCGGGTCCCGACCAGAGACCTAAGGTCAGAAATGGCACTTTGACCTTTTCTACTGAGCAGTTTCGCAAAAACATTCGCACATATTTCACATAGATAAAGCCCTTCGTAAGGTGTGGCCTGTACTCGTGAGGACAATTTTTTTGTATTTCTTTAAGGCATGGACTGCCAGGAATCCTTCAATGAGTCTATTGGAATCTTTTTCCAATCAACCTGAGGGCTCCAACTACAACTGGAATTGTTGATATTCTCATGTATCACATTTTTGAGATTTCGATTTCATTATTATTATTATTATTATTATTATTATTATTATTATAAATTATTATTATTATTATTATTATTATTATTATTATAAATTATTATTATTATTATTATTATTATTATAAATTATTATTATTATTATTATTATTATTATTATAAATTATTATTATTATTATTATTATTATTATTATAAATTATTATTATTATTATTTTTCCTTTGATTTCTGGTGTGTACACATTGCTTTCTAAGGTTAGAAATGGCATCATGACATTTTCCAATAACCAAACAATAAAAAAAAAAAAAAAAACAGAAACACTAACACATTTTACATAAATAAAGCTCTTCGTAAGGTTTGGGCTGTACTCCTGAGAACAATTTTTGGTATTTCTTTAAAGCATGGACTTCCAGAAATTCCTTTCAGTTAGTCTACTGGGATCTTTTCCAACCAATCCGAGGGCTACAATTACAATTGGAATTGTTGATGTGCCACATTTTTTAACATTGTGATTTCAAGGTCCTTGTATTTTGATAGTTTTTTGAAGATCTTCAAAGATACATTGCAGTCTGTAGGGACTGTCATGGCAACAAGGAAGCACATTTTTGTCTTTGCGGTCTCTAATCACGATGCTCGGGTGATTAGATTTGATTGTTCTGTCTGTGTGTATTGTAAAGTCCCAGAAAATTGTTACAGATCCTATCTTTGGAACCAAGTTTGGGTGGTGTTCATACCAATTACTTGCAGTTTCCTTTCCGTAAAAATTACAGATTTTCCAGTGCAGATATTGGCCAAATCTGTCATGCCGATTTTTATATTCAATGTGTGCACATACCGCGCAACGAAATACAAGAGGGTCAATTGTTTCTGAATATTTATCATAGAATTTTCCTTTTGGACTAACACAACTTTTTCAGTATGTATGCTCGGTAATTTCTACTTAGCAACTATTATTATTATTATTATTATTAAATTTGGAACATTTTTCACCCCAGGCAAGGCGGGAAGCCACTACGACGCAAGGGGTTACAGAAGATTTGGAGCCAGATCAGATAGGAGTGATAGAGGAAAGGATGAGGAGAAGGATAGTGGATAGATCAAGGCAAGTGGAGATTGTTACACTTTTTTGTGTATATATGTATGTGACTAGTGAGCGAGTCAAAATGATTTAATTCCCTTTATAGTCTACCAATAGAAGATTAACCAATCAGAAGCCGCAGAACACTGTATCCGTCGTGTATAAAGGAAGCCATCCTTGTTTATCCTACCGGAATGACCAGTGCCAACTTGTCAGAAGATGAAGAAGGAAGAACTACGCTCTGCTACTTTGCTGTGATATCCACTGCGATCCTGCACTACGCTTTCCTACTGTCTCCGAAATATTCACTGCCAACCTCTGGATTCTATACTCGAGGACGACAATCATTAAAATGTCTAACAGAGATGTCGATTGACATTTCATTTGAATAGCTGGAGATTATAGCTCGCAGGGAAACTAGAATAGGGAAAGGAGTTCCACAGGCGAAAGGTGCGAGATATTGGAGTAGAAGAGACGACTATATTTAGTAGTTTCGACAGTGAAAGGATGAGAGCGGGATGCCAGCCTTGTAGGGCGCTTGAATTCATGAAGTCTGGGAACCAGCGAATGCAGCTCCTCGGAGAAATTGTAAAAAAGACAAAGAGAGGCGACGGCGCGTCTGTGAGGAAGTGACTATAGACGAGACGCCAGATCAGGGCCAATTATATTACATATCCGCCTCTGGATCTTATCAAGAACCCCGAGGCAAACAGAAGGGGCTCCAGACCATATATGGCAGGAATACTCCATGCAAGGGCGAATTGTTGATTTGTAGATCGGGAGGATCGATTCCGGGGAGAAAAAATTTCCTGGTGCGGCACAGTGAGCCAACTTTTCTCGCGGTGGACGAAGCAATTGACTCAGTGTATTAGTTCCATCTCAGGTCAGCAGTCAACGTGAGATGATAGCGGGGACAGACAGGCTGCTACTATCTTTAAAATGCTTCCGTGTCATGCATTTCAAATTGCCTTTGAAAACTAGGTCCAGCTCTAAACCGGAGAATGTCCAAAGGCGGACAACTGGTGCCTCATAACAAGCTGTTTCGGGCAGATGGAGCTCAACAGCCCAGCGAAGCAAATTCCGGCAGTGAAGCCGGGCCCAAGTGTAATGCCATGTAATTCTTTGGATCTTGTCGATACAGCCGGGAGTCGGGGAACATGTAATCTTGGCAGCGCACAGGACTGTGCCATAGAATGCTCACTCCTGTCTCACCAACAAGGGACTGAATTTTGACCAAACGGGACGTTACCTTTAGATCGCTAAATAAACGGATGCCTACTATTATTATGATTAGAGCTGTATAAATTTGAAGACATACTGCTTATCAGCGTAATTTCCCATCTTCATCAAATTTGTAAATAACTAATAAACAAGTCCTCTCGAGGAGTACATAGATTTGTCTGTCGCCAGGTTCGCACACCTCCTCAGTCTTTTGAACAGAGTTTATCTCTTTTTCATTGTGTGACGTCGCCCCCCCCCCTGGTCGCAGCGTCGCTCTGTCGTTCGATCTCGTTCGCGGCTCCAGTTGTGACGTTTTTGCCGCGGCGTCAGCTGTTCGCTCCTCGCTGCTCCAAGTGTGACGTTCTAACCCTTTGGTTAGATGATTACCAGCCTCGCCGTTCCCAACTCGCTTCCAACACCTGGTTACTAGGGCAACTGCACTGATCTCCGGTCTGTCTACCCACGTTGTGATTAGATCTTAGACAGACGGGATCAAACAGGGATTGGGGCCGTATGCAAGTTGGGTCCGACGGGGTGATAACACCTGAAAAGAAAAACTCACGAGGCCAAAAATTACTGATAAAAAGAGGGTAACAACCTTTTATATCTAATTGTTCGTTACATAAAAATCATTCTTACTTCCCGACCCGTTTTGTGGACTGTGGCACCAAGCTTCTAACTTAAAGACTTCGAGTTGCCTACTTTCTAGAAATTTGCATGTCGGGGTGTGGTTTGGTTTCGACACTGGGCGCTGATCTATACCAGTCGTTCACGGCTGATTCTTCTCGCCGTCAGTGCGCGAATCGACTTCTTCTCTTCGGCTTGAGTTGGACGAGCTTATTCACTTCGGCTTGAGTTGGACGAATTTCTTCACTTCGATTTGGGTTGGACGAAATTCTATTCTTAGGTTTGGTTAGGACGAATTTATTCACTTCGACTTGTCTTGGACGAATTTCTCTTCATAGGCTTGGTGTGATTCCAACTCCAACTGCAACTTCTTCTCGTCAAGGTCCGAACTCTTTCCTCTGCCGTCCAGGGCTGAACTGACTTCTGCCTGTTTGGCCTGCAATTCCAACTTAACTTCTCATCAACTTTCGGGCAATCTTCTTCACTTCGACTTGGGCTGGACGAATTTCTTCACTCCGGATTCTCTTGCCCGCAAAGGGGCGAATGAACCGGGCCCGACGCCCGCGTTCAAGCTCCCTCGCTGTTCACGGCGTAGCTGCAACTCTAACTTCTTTCTTCGGCTTCAGCGCTGCAACTTCTCTGCCTGTCCGGGCCAAACGGACCGGCCCTTCTTGCCCGCAAGGGGCGAATGAACAAGGCCCGCCGTCCGCTCTCCAACTGCTCTTGCCGTCTACCTCGCAACTGATTTCTGTCGATTGGGGTCCTGCTTTTATTGACGCTGCAACAAACTGGGGTGGGTCTGTCGGCGTCAGGGTTTTCTTGATAATTCCAAAAGTCGCATTATTCCTGATTTCCCATTATCGCTCTTACTTTCACCCCTACTTCCTCACAGTGCCTCTGGGGGGGGGGGCGCATACCCATTTCTCCTGGTCTCTCGTATGTCAGGTGACCGTTTTCGACCAATGGGTCCTGGTCGAGCGTCTCTCCTCTTTCCTCGCACATCACGTGACCGCTCTCGGCTAATGAGATTCTGGTCGGGCGTCGCTCCCCCCTTCGTGACGTCTCCAATCGGGCGTCGTCAATCCGGGGCTTTGTTCTGGGGAAGAAACACCTTGTTTAAAAAAACAAAATTTAAATTGTCTTTCTCGTATACGTGGTATTTGTCAAAATAGCCGCCGCTAATTAGATGTGACTTCAGGAAGAATTTTTCTCGCCTTGCTGGCGCTCTCTGTGAGCTAAAACAATTGCTTTCACCTCTTTTCTTTCACTCAGGCCTGCCAGCCAAAATTTGAATTGAAAATATCTTCACCTATCATCGTGGGGGTTCTTATCTTCAACTCTAGAGCTGGTCAAGATCTGTATACAATTCCAGTGGTCACCTCTCATCTCAGTGACACCCTTTTTCGATTGTCACTTATTAATATTTCTTTTTCCATTGTTCTAAAAATCCCATTTCTCCAACCAAATTGACAAGGAACTCTCACATTCCGCGGACACGAAAGTAGGTCCGGCGTTCTGACCGATATCTGGTATTTTATCAATCGTCCGTCTTGATATCATGTCTTTTTCCCTTTCTTTCTCTAAACTCTATTCTTTCAAATAACAATTTCTATTGTTCGTGAATTTCGGTCAGGCGCGTTGGCCTAGATATCTCTTGACACCTGTTTTCGCTTATGACCGGGTTTTGTATTATCTATTCCTCTTTCTCTTTCTTTTTTCTTTCTTTTTTTTTCCTTCTTCTTCCCTTCGGATCGCCTAAATACAGTTAGAGAATTATTCTCAAAACTCAATTATTTTTCGTCTCTAAATAAATATTAACTGGTTAATAGACCGAATAAAAATTAAATCATATTTCTATGGATATCTCTTTTTAGTTTTTCTAATAATGCAGGGTGCCACAATTGTTTAGGATAGGGTTTCAGATTCCTTATCAAAGACTTTTATTCTCTTTCTCTGCCTGTAGTCCTTTGCTTCTTAGTATCATTGTTACCTTGCTTGGGGCGAAATTATTAAAAGAAAACACCCTTTTTGTGCTAACTCACGAAAATATTGCAGGTTTTCTAAACTCTTGGAAGCTTTTTAATGGGGAATGAGGAAAATTCATTCATTTTTTTTTCATGTGGTTGATCCTTGTGTATAATATGAGATTCGTTTCACTAAATTTTAATTTTCTTCTGTTAACTTATAAACAAATAGTCCAAATATTGTTTTTTTTCTCTGTTATATTCAAGTACATTCAACTATCGCTACCATTGAAATGAACTATGTGCTTTTAGTATAATAATCATGAGAGACGTTTCGACTTGAACGATTGCCTCAATTCAGCGAAATTTCACATCTTCTACAACTTTGTAAACTACCCTTATCAGGGCTTTTGAAACCTTCTTGCCCTTCATTAACTCACGAATTTGTTGCGGGTTTGCTAAGTTCATCAAAGTTTGATGGGAAATGATGGTGTAGCGTATGTACCAAATATAGGGTCGCGTCAATTCAGTAAATATGGCAGGAACACCAAATATATAGGTACTACTAATGACACTTCCACGTACAGGATTCAAGAAATAATAACAACAACTCCAATTTGTTAACCAACAAATAGATATTGAATAAAATACAAGAAGCATGAAATAAAATCGTATTCACACTGTAGATTCAAGAGAAGGAAGTTGTTTTCCTTTGACTGTAGATTGATTGTAATCAACCATTTGAAGAAAGTTCTCTTGTGAGATAAATGTTCCGAAATAATTGTTAGAGCAAAGTTTGCATGTGAAGAATGAATAACACCAAGAATACAATTGCTTGAAATGTGTTGTGAATAAACTGGTTTGAATCAACAAAGTTCTGGCTGATTGTACTTGGCGAAAGTTACAGAGAGAAAAATGTAAGTTTGTAGTTACGAAATTCTGTGTCTGTATGTGCGTTAGAGTGTGATGAACAAGATCGTGGATTTGTGTTGACGGCTCTTACTGGATCTTACTGGTGACTTGAGAAAAGTCTCCCAATTTAAGGAAAAGAGGTAGGCTCCCACGGAACCGCGGGAAACCTTGATCTTACATTAAAAATATGTGATTGTTTAAAAATTAACAAATCACTGCACTAAACAGAATAGGTAAATATGCTCAGAACCAAAAGATTCAAAGGAACGACTGCGATAGTTAAATTGTCCTATAGAAAGGTTGTAGTAATTTATTAGCCAATCGCAGTCGAATAAAATGACTTGGGGTGTATGTGGGTGTGAAAAACATGGCAATCTCTATAATTGAATCAACTTGATAGTTCTTCCAAAGTCCTTGTTTAATATTTATGCTATGTTTCTATTTCTTTAAATCAATCGATTCCAATCAAGATGATAATGGCACTATGACCCAACTAGGGCTAGGGGGAGTGGAAGAGAAAGGAAAGTTTTTAGAGGGAAAGGGGGAACCGAATCCTAAAGAGGAAACAAGTGATAAACCTATACTCCTGTTTAAAAAAAAAAGGAAAGAATAGATAGATAGATAGATAGATAGATAGATAGATAGATAGATAAAAAGAAAGAAACATGCTTAGATAGATAGATAGATAGATAGATAGATAGATAGAAACATGCTTAGATAGATAGATAGATAGATAGATAGATAGATAGATAGATCTTGCGAAATTGAGAAATGACTGAGATTGAAAGATGTGGCATGAATAGAGAGATAAATAGAGATTTAGATAGTTAAATAACAAGATAGATATGAACAGACTGAAACACATCGAGATAGATAGGTAGATATGAACCAAGATAGATAACACTGTTCTTCATGTTTGTTCTGTTTATATCACATTTCATATCACACAAGGACTTTGGAAGAACTATCAAGTTGATTCCATTATAGAGATTGCTATGTTTTTCACACCCACATACACTCCAAGTCATTTTATTCGCCTGCCATTGGTTAATAAATTACTACTACCTTTGTATATGGTCATAGTTCCATTATCATATTTACTAGGATCAACTGATTAAAGTATAGAGTTGAAGTCGACATTAGAAGGAACCGGAAATACAATCCTAAACAGGAAACAAGGAATAAACCTTTACTACTATTAAAAAAAAGTGGGAGCCTGGCGATAGTCGCCTATCTAATCATATTGAGGAAAAATAATTAATAAATAAAATTTCAACTTCAAACGGAGATGTTAGAAGGAAACATTATAGGAACCAGAAATACAATCCTAAACAGGAAACAAGGAATAAACCTTTACTACTATTAAAAAAAAAAGTGGGAGCCTGGCGATAGTCGCCTATCTAATCATATTGAGGAGAAAATAATTAATAAATAAAATTTCAGACTTCAAACGGAGATGTTAGAAGTATAGAGTTGAAGTAGACATTATAGGAACCGGAAATACAATCCTAAACAGGAAACAAGGAATAAACCTTTACTGCTATTAAAAAAAAGTGGGAGCCTGGCGATAGTCGCCTATCTAATCATATTGAGGAGAAAATAATTAATAAATAAAATTTCAGAGTTCAAACGGAGATGTTAAAAGTATAGAGTTGAAGTAGACATTATAGGAACCGGAAATACAATCCTAAACAGGAAACAAGGAATAAACCTTTACTGCTATTAAAAAAAAAAGTGGGAGCCTGGCGATAGTCGCCTATCTAATCATATTGAGGAGAAAATAATTAATAAATAAAATTTCAGACTTCAAACGGAGATGTTAGAAGTATAGAGTTGAAGTAGACTTTAGAAGGAACCGGAAACCCAATCCTAAACAGGAAACAAGAGATAAACCTCTACTCCTATTCAAAAGAGTGAGGAGTTTGAACCGGGTGATAGTTGTCTATCTACTCATATTGAGGAGAGAATAATTAGTAAATAAAATTTCAGAGTTGAGAAGGAGACGCGAAAAGTATAAGGTTGAAATAGACTTTAGAAGGGACCGGAAACCTAATCCTGAACAGGAAACAAGGGATAAACCCCTACTCCTGTTCAAAAGACCGAGGAGGTGTATGAACTGGACGATGGTCGCCAATCTAGTCATGTTGGGGAAAAAATAATTATAGAAATTGCAGTAAATTACAAATGTTTAAATAAGAATTTGCCAAGTTTATACAAAAGGTGATGTCATAACTGTCTCCTACAAGAGTAGTATTAATTCATTATTAGTTAGCAATACTACTTAATTAATTATTAATTAGCAATGCTACTTTTAGCACGTGAGAATTTTCAGTTTTCCTACTTTAATTTTCGGATGAATCTTAATTCTTAAGTTAATGATTGAGTAAGCTCATGGCGAGTTCTAAGCCGATAAAATATCCATAGAATTTTCCTTATCACATCGTTAAATATCTGAGCTTAATTATTTTAACAGAATACTGCAATAAGAATCGTATATGATTTTAAGTGTGTATAAATGAAAAGATTTAAAATATCTATTTCACAGGAAGACATTAAACACTTTTATCTTCTCATCTTTCGTTCTTTCTTTCTTTCTTTCTTTCTTTCTTTCTTTCTTTCTTTCTTTCATTAATTTATTTTCTTAGTTAAACCAAGTAATGTCTGTTCCCCTCCTTCCATGCGATCAAAACGGAATTGATCATTATTCATGTGATATTGGCAGGGCGTAACGGCCGTGCGAAGAACCAATGGAGGAACAAGCACAATTATTTTTAGGATCCTATCACGTGTCTCTTCAGGATATAGAATGTCACTGCTCTCTACAACTTCCTTTACTTTAAAATCTCTAAATTTTTCTTTCCTTTCTCACCAGGACAAGTTTTTTTCCTCTCCTTTCCATGCGATCAAATCGGAATTAATCATTATTCATGTAGTAAAGGCAGGGCGTAACGGCCGTGCGAACTAACGAAGGGAGGGACAAGCACAATTATTTATAGGATCCTATCACTTGTCTCTTCAGGATATAGAAAGTCACTGCTCTCTACAGCTTCCCTTACTTTAATATCTCTGAATTACCATATACATAGGAAAAGGTAGGGAGTAGTTTCCCATTGCCTTCTCCATGGTTTCTCCCATTAGGACGTAGGTGATCATGGTTCTCCACAGCTTCCATTTCTTTATTATCTGTGAATTGCATTGACACATTGAGAAAGACAACCAAGTAGATTTCCGTTGCCTTTTTCACGGTTTTGAATTCAGAGCAGTCTTTTTTGCCATCAGGACGTAAGTGATCACGGTTCTCTACAGCTTCCTTCTCTTTATTGTATTTGAATTGCAATGACACATTGAAAAAGATGATTAAGTGTTGTTCCGTTGCTTTTTTTACAGTTTTGAATTCAGAACAGTTTTTCTCCCATCAGGACGTAAGTGATCACGGTTCTCCACAGCTTCATTTTCGTTATTATCTCTGAGTTGCTATGGTATATTGAAAAAGATTGTGAAGAAATAAAATAATATAGAATTGAAGACAAAATAAAGGATTTTTTTTTAATTTTGTCTAAGAAATTGTTGTAATGCCTTTCTTTCTTTCTTTCTTACTTTCTTTCTACTGTGTCTTTCTTTCTTCTTTCTTTCTTTCTTTCTTTTTACTGTCTTTTTTCTTTCTTTCTTTCTTTTTCTTTCTTTCTTTCTTTCTTTCCTTTTTCTTTCTTTTCTTTCTTTCTTTCTTCTTTCTTTCTTTCTTTTTTGCGGTGTCTTTCTTTCTTTCTTCTTTCTTTCTTTCTTTTTACGGTGTCTTTCTTTCTTTCTTCTTTCTTTCTTTCTTTTTACGGTGTCTTTCTTTCTTTCTTCTTTCTTTCTTTCTTTTTTCGGTGTCTTTCTTTCTTTCTTCTTTCTTTCTTTCTTTTTACGGTGTCTTTCTTTCTTTCTTCTTTCTTTCTTTCTTTTTACGGTGTCTTTCTTTCTTTCTTCTTTCTTTCTTTCTTTTTACGGTGTCTTTCTTTCTTTCTTCTTTCTTTCTTTCTTTCTTTCTACTGTGTCTTTCTTTCTTTCTTCTTTCTTTCTTTCTTTCTTTCTACTGTGTCTTTCTTTCTATCTTTTTACTGTGTCTTTCTTTCTTTTTACTGTGTCTTTCTTTCTTTCTTTCTTTCTTTCTTTCTTTCTTTCTTTCTTTCTTTCTTTCTACTGTGTCTTTCTTTCTTCTTTCTTTCTTTTTACTTTTGTCTTTCTTTCTTTCTTTCTTTTTACTGTGTCTTTCTTTCTTTCTTTTTACTGTGTCTTTCTTTCTTTCTTTCCTTCTTTCTTTTTTCTACTGTTTCTTTCTTTCCACCATTTATTTTTTTCTTCTTGCTTGTTTTCCTTCCACCATTTGTTTCTTAATTTCTTGCTTTCCTTCTACCATTTCTTTCTTTCTTCTCGACGTAGATAAATTCCTCCATCAGTTCATCACTCATTCTTTCTTTCTTTCATTCTTTTTCTTTCTTTCTTTCTTTCTTTCTTTCTTTCTTTCTTTCTTTCTTTCTTTCTTTCTTTCTTTCTTTCCCGACGTTTATACATTCTTTCCTATTTTCATCATTCAATTCTCTTTCTTTCTTTCTTTCTTTCTTTCTTTCTTTCTTTCTTTCATTTTCTCACTGAGACGAAATAGTGTCTTTTTGCCTATTTCCACGCGATCAAAACGGAATAGCCGATTATTTATGAGGTATTGGCAAGGCGTAACGGTCTTGCAAACTAAAGAAGGGAAGAGCAAGCCCAATTATAATAGGATTTGGGAAGAGTTTTAACAGATTTAATAGCGGGTGCAAAATATGGCACAAAACTCATTGGGATAACGAAAGATCCCTTCCAAAAGCCACGAAAACTCAAATGTGAAAGTAAAAGTGAAAGTAAAAACAAAATCAAAAGTAAAGTAAAATAAGAAAAAAAAAGGTAAAAAGTGAAAGTGAAAGTAAAAGAAAAATATTGTTAAGAGGGGACAATAAAAGAACAGAAATTAAGAAGACAAAAGGTATCGATTGATATTACATTTAAATTTTTAAAGATCAAAGTTGACCGGAAAACAAGAATCCAGAAGAGAGTTCCACAAGCGAGAACTGCGAGAGAAAAATTGTCCTCTTCGTTGTTATTTTTATCACAACGTTTCGGCCGTTATGCCTTCCGACCTTCCTCCGGTGTATAGCGAGCTGGGCGATCTGCAGAGAATTCTGAAGTGAATCCTTTATTTAACTTAGTATTTAATATTTCAGTTCTGGATTTCTTGTAGGTCACTAAGATCGATATACACCTGAGGAAGGCCGGGAAACAACAACCGAAACATTGTGATAAAAACAAAGATGATGACAATAGTCGAAATATAAATAATGATAACTCCTCATCCCATGACTTCAGAAAAAAAGAAATTCTTAGCATAGAACTTGCGGTTATAGCTAACAATTTTAAATGTAAAATGAATTCTAGAGTTCAAAGTTTAATCGACTAAAATCCTACGGCTCATCAAGCTTTTGCGGGTTATTTAACGCCAGAAAATAATTCTAGATTGTAGAATAGTTTCCATTCTTTAGGGATAATAATGGTTTAGAGATACAAATCTTACTAATTAACCCATATCTGGGGGGAAGAAGAGATGGATTCATACCTTTCCCAAGGATATTTGCACATAAATGAATATAACGAGCCCATCTGGAATTAGAACTCGGCTCTCCGATTATCAATTCAGAGCCATTATCTATTATATCACCCGCACATTCAACGTTACAGTACCCGGTATTCCCTAGCGGTCAGCCATCTAGGTACTGACCAGGCTGGATGTTGCTTAACTTCGGTGATCGTGTCGGAACTCGGCTCTATGATTAACAATTCCTAAACCATTATCCATTACACCGCCCGCACCTTCAAGCTTACAGCACCTGATATTTCTAAGCGGTCACCCATCTAGGTACTGACCAGGCTGGATGTTGCTTAACTTCGGTGATCGTATCGGCACTCGGCTCTCCGACAAACAACTCAAAGCCATTATCCATTACATCACCGCTCATGCACGCTTACAGCACCTGGTATTCCCAAGCGGTCACCCATCTAAGTACTGACTAGGATGGCCGTTGCTTAACTTCGGTGATCGTATCGGAACTCAGCTTTCCGACTAACAACTCAGAGTCATTATCCATTACATCACCCGAACATGCACGCTTACAGCACCTGGTATTCCCAAGCGGTCACCCATCTAAGATGGCCGTTGCTTAACTTCGGTGATCGTCTTGGAACAGGCGTTACAACGTAATGTGGCCGTGAGTCATGTAGCAAGGAGGAAAGCGGGTAGTCACTCGACCTCCCCACGGTTTTTACGTGGGGCAATTTCGAGCCTATAGGCTCAGACAAAAAATTCCCCGTAAACCGGGGTCGGGTTTATCAACATCCCCAGACAATACTCTACCCCTCGGCAGACAGTACCCGAAGGCAGAGAGTTCGACAGACTCTCTCGGAAGAAGATGTCTGCCCGCAAGGAGGAAAGCTCACCAGAACAAATAACATGAAAATATTTAAATAACATGAAAATATTTATAGAAAAAAGCAGTGGGAAAGTAACTGAAGTCAAGATGCCAGGTAATGACCAGTAATATTGCAGATTGTTCTGCACGTTTCAAATGCGAAGATTGTCAGTCGGCAAAAAGTGCGCACCTACAAATCAATACAATAAAGCTTAAAATACAAATTCGAAAATAACGCAAATAAATAAAACTGTTAAATATTAAAGCGAAAATAATCAGAGTTTATTTGGCTTTATGAATCGAAGTTTGATACGCCGAAGAACACGTTCAGCTTTAATATCTGAAGGTACATGTGCGCATGCGTATAAATATGCGTAGATTTTTTTCGCGCGCGTGTGTGTGTGTGTGTGTGTGTGTGTGTGTGTGTGTGTGTGTTATTTGTAGATTTTGTTTGCATTTGACAAGGTTTTTTGTCTTGTACTAGATAATTCCCGAATTTGAATGACGGCTTCAAGAACCAAGAAAACTGGGAGATTATGAAGACTGAATCGCATAAGCTAGAATTTCATATCTTCAAGAGGCTTAGAAATATCGCAAAGAATTTAAAAAAAAATCTTGTCAGTATGTTTATGATGTTTTTTTTTTTTGTTTTGTTTTGTTTTTTTAGGATGATAGTATATTCGGAAGTTAAAAGTGATTAAGCATTTATTTTTAAAAAAAAACTGATAAAAGCTAATTCCATTTGATCAAATTAACTTTTTTCATTATTAGTGTCATATCACGTTATTATTATTATTATTATTATTATTATTATTATTGAATAAATGTGGACGTCATCATAATCATTATTTTGGCTGTATCTCGATGGTAAAAACTTATCAGTAAACTTATAAAACTTTCCCTAACTTGAAATAATTAGGAAAGTTCATTTAAGGATTATTTCGTAAATGATTTTTTAGAAGTACAAGTTCTTCTATATGACAGTGAACACTGGGCAATCCCCTAACAGATAAAGAAAAAGACTTGAAGCAACAGAAATGTGGTTCTACAGAAGGATGCTGAGAATACCATGGACCGAACATGGGAGCAACGACGAGAAAATGGAAACAAAAAAGACAATTATACTTAAAACCAGGAAGACACAGGTGAAAATTCTAGGTAACCGAATGAGGAAGAAGAGCTTGGAAAATCTAATACACACAAGGCCAGATTGAAGCTAAAAGAAAGAGAAGAAAACAATTTATAACCTGCCTGTGCTAACCGTGTTTTGAAAGAAAAACATGAAAAATTCCCATGACTCTAGATACATGTATAAAATAACTACATTTTCTGTAAATAAATTTAAAAAAAAACATCCTTTGTTAACTGTCAATATTTCTCAGCTGAAGTATTCTAACTATTTACACCATTTACATTGTTCGGACTGTTGAACTCGTCTTTATTGTCATATTCACGACGTTTCGGCCCTTGTTCGCTTAGGCTTTCGTCAGGATCTGTCTACATTTCCCAGATGAGGTATTGTAACTATTTACGCTATTTACATTGTTCGGATCGCTGTCCGCGTCTTTATTGTCATATTCGCGACGTTCCGGCCGTTGGACGCTCAGGCTTTCCTCAGGATCTGTCCATATTTCTCAGATCAGGTATTATAACTATTTATATTATCTACATTGTTCGGACTGTTGTCATCGTCTTTATTGTCATATTCATGACGTTTCGGCCGTTGTACGCTGAGGCCTTCCTCAGGATCTGTCTATATTTCTGAGATGAGATATTGTAAACATTTACACTATTTACATTGTTTGGATTGTTGTCCTCATCTTATTGTCATATTCACGACGTTTCGGCCGTTGTACGCTGCGGCCTTCCTCAGGATCTGTCTATATTTCTGAGATGAGATATTGTAACCATTTACACTATTTACATTGGATTGTTGTCATCATCTTTATTCAAGACGTTTCGGCCGTTGTACACTCCGACCTACTTCAGGAGCTGTCTATATTTCTGAAATGAGATATTGTAACCATTTACACTATTTACATTGTTTGGATTGTTGTCCTTATCTTTATTGTCATATTCACGACGTTTCGGGCGTTGTACGTTCCGGCCTTCTTCAGGATCTGTCTATATTTCTGAGATGAGA